TGAACTTTGAAAGTCTTGAAGATAACTCAAGAATTTGCCATAGATTGTGAAGATTAAAGCTCCTTGGTGAGTAATTCATGTGTTTTTAGTTATCATCTTGTGAATTCAAGTTTGAATGAGGGTCAAGAACATGAATTAGTTTGATTTTGTTGTATTAAAGACCCATGTGTGCATGCATGTATGTAATTGCTTGAATTTGCATGTTTGAGTTTAAAATACATGATCCATGTAGGATTTTGGTTAAAGCTCATGTATAATCACCATTTGTGTCATCTAAGTTGAAAATGGAAGCAATACATCACATGCATGTACAATTTATGAAGATAAGAGCTTTGGATGCATGAATGTCTATATTGGAATTGAGTTTGGTGTCAATTTGGGGCATGCATGTGTTTGATTCATGAAATTGAGCTCCATGATGATGTGTTTTAGTGTTTATACCATGTTAGTACAAGAATATATGAGGTTGGAGCCATAAAATGCGAGAAATGTTGGTTTCAATGTTGAGAGGGAGCTCAAGAACACATTCTGGATTTTCCATAATTTTGAGGTCCGCCTGAGCGGGAGAACCTCCGCTCGAGCGTAAATTACGTGCTTCCAGTACTTTTTGCAGACTTGGTGTCCGCTCGAGCGGGGTATTTCACGCTCGAGCAGGGAGCTTTGTAGACAGGCCTTCCGCTTGAGCGCCCTATTTCACGCTCGAGCTTATTTTTCATGCAATCAGTACTTCTGCAGGCCTTAAGGGTCCGCTCGAGCGGGGGAGTCCACGCTCGAGCGGGGACCCTGTTTTCTGAAATTTTGTTTTCGCATTCTGTGTTTCGTTTTCCGTTCTCTTTCACTTACAAGCACTCTTAGGCATGTGTTAAACATTGTAAATGAGTTAAAGAGATAAGAATAAAGCCTAAAGAGGAAAATGTGAATTTAGAACGGATTGAATTGTTAGTGACCCTTTTGTGTTCATGGAATGTGTAGGGTCAAGCTCCAGGGCAAATCCACAAACCGATCACTGTGAGTAATATCTTAACAAGATATTTGAAATCTACTGTTGTCCAATTATTTACTTATATGTAAGTTTTGTAAGTTCATTAATCTGAATGGTGGACAACGATAGATATGAATGATTGGGCCGAAGGCCGATAGATACGAATGATTGGGCCGAAGGCCGATTGATACGAATGGTTGGGCCGAAGGCCGATTGACATGAATAATTGGGCCGAAGGCCGATTGACATGAATGACTGGGCCGAAGGCCGATAAATATAAATGATTGGGCCAAAGGCCGATAGATATAAATGATTGGGCCAAAGGTCGTTTGCTGTAACTGTTTCAATGATTGCTTATGTATCTTCTTTAATTGATATTATTCACTGGGCATTCGCTCACGCTCATTCATGTATATGTAGATGAGCCAAGGGACGTCCAAAACCAGCCCCGGTGAAATTGTGAGAAACAGTCAGAGTTTTGAGGAGTCAGCCCAAACGTCTCACGCATGAGACTGTCTTGGCCCTTTTGTCCTCTGTTTATAGTTTTGTTTTGTTGGCGAAAACATCGGACCATTTTTGTATATAAGTCTTGGGTTTGACTGACTTAAATCTACATGATCCTGTATGTACAGTGTTTTGTGCTAGTACATATTCTGGTGTGAGTTATTAACATATAAATCTTTGGAATGTTTTGGTGTGCACTTAAGCATAGCTCTATGGACAAAGTTTCAAATTTGCTTCCGTTTGGCCCCCATTAACTCTATTAAAATACGTTTGGTTCGCTTTGGGGCCGTAGGTAGTCTCATGATTACTGGCCGGTTATGTCCTTAACCCACGGTGGCGGGTTCGAGTCATGACACCGACTGTCCAAAATGACGTCGTTTTGGGTAGTTTCTTTTCTTCTTTTTTTTTTTCCTCCTTATACAGTCTGAAACAAAAGGAGAGAAAGAGAGAGAAAGAGAAAGAGAAAGAGAAAGAGAAAGAGGGAGAGAAGAGAGAAGAAGAGAGGGGAAGAGGGAATGGAGAGAGAGAGGGGGGGTCGATCGTCGATCGCCACCGCCTCTTTTTAAATGTGTTGATGACAATGGTGGTGATGTTGATGATGATTTTTTTTTTCTCTCTCTCTCTTTGGTACTCTCCTCTTCCTTCTCCTCCTTTTTCTTCTTTCTTCTTCTGCGTTATTGGAAAAAAAAAAATCAAAACGATGAAACGACGTTCTTTCTTCTTCTGCGTTATTGGAAAAAAAAAAATCAAAACGATGAAACGACGTCGTTTTGAATTCGTGGGATTCGGGGAAGGAAGGATTCGAGCTACGTAGCATAACTGCATCCAAAAATATGTCGTAAAATAATTGCACTTAAGACAACATACATTTCATGTCATAAAATATTATAACTTTACACGGCATGCAAATGCATGCCGTGAAGACTTTTATTAAAAAAAATTTCAATCTGATTATTTGTTTTTAATTTTAAAAAGTTATCAATTTCCAATCAAGCTTCTCACCTTAAATTTTCCCAATTGAGGGCAACGTAAAAACTAATTTATACATTATTTTATAATTTAGTATAATCTTTTAAGGAATAATTGCACCCAGTGGGATTTTTGGGAAAAAATTACATGTTCATGAAAAAAGTTTATAATTTTAATTATTAATATTTATATTACTTCTCACTTATTTGTAATTATTTTTTTCAAGATTATCTTGATTTGATATTTTCCCTTCTTTTAATAATTTATTTTTAAAAAAAAACTTTTTAGGTGCGTCTAATCTGAATAAAAAGTAAAATATTTGTAAAAAAAATACAATAAAATATAATATATATGAAAATTTTATATTTTTTTGAATTTATTGATTTTTTTAGAAAATTAAAAAAATTTAGCGATTCAACCTCTCTGCAATCTCCTCTCTGATTCAACGTCGACCTAGAAGCTGAAGAAGAAGAAGAAGAAGAAGAGGAGGAGGAGGAGGAGGAGGAGGAAGAGGAGGAGTTTAAGAATGGAGACACAGTTGAAGAGGTCAAGGTCGAGGTCTCTGTATAGTATACTCAATCTATTTAGGCACCGTGATAGTTGGTTAGGTCTCCTCTCTCACATACAACAAACACAACAAATCAACTATTTAAACAGTGCTCCATCTCCGTCTCCGTCGGCGATTGGGGCTCTCTCGCTCTAGATTTAGGTTCGTTCTTTCTCTCTCCGATCTTTGCTCTCTCTCTCTCTCTCTCTCTCTTGATCTTTCCCTCATCGAAGACACTTGCGAAGTCTCGACCTTTGTATTCTCAAGGTAATTTCTATATCTATTCTCTCTTCTTCATCGATTGAAATTTTGGAATAGAAACCCTAGTTTCAAGTTTTTCTATGATTAGAGCTTAAATCATGTATACTTGATGTGAGAGTTATTTTTCTTATTCTTGCTCATCAAGAATTTTGTTTTTCTCTAATTTGATCCCGATTTATGGTGATTTTCTCAAATTTGCTCGTTATCTCTGATCAGAACATTCCTAAGATTCGCAAGATCACAATCTTAACCACAAAGCAATGTAGGTTCTCATCAAACTACATAAGATCATACTCCCTTTATCTAGACTCTGAAATTGTAAGTTTCCTTAGGCAGCTTGAAAGGTTTAATCAATGGTTGGATGACTTGGTTGCAGATGGAATTGGGACCAATGAGAGAATAGAGACCTTATGGAAGCAGTTATATGGATTTCTATTGGAGCATGTTTAGTCCATCTTTGTTGTTAGTAATTATGGCTGTGTTTATCTTTGAATTTTGATACTTTCTGGCAACATTGTTACAGTACTTATTATTTATTTCTTTCATATTGTATATCATGTCCATGAGTTAGGAGTTGGGGATTTTTCATTGGAAATTATGAGTACGCAACATTATTTTGTTAGAGATGTTATGTAATGCATATCATGTGAGAATAGTGAATATGAATATGCTTTCTACACATGTTTAGTGCTTGTAAAACTCAAATAAAGTGAAACCATGAAGGGTAATGGGTGAAATTAGTTACAGTGATTTGGTCTTTAATTCAAAATTTGAAAGAAATGATTTATTGAGCTGAAATGTACTGGTTAATTTGGTGATGGTTTGATTCATCAAGTTTTTAACTACTCAAGGGTCTATTTGGGGTTGGGTGAAGAAGATCAAGTGCCGATGACACCAAAATCGATTGTGTTTTGTAGTGGAACTGGTTTTGGTTGAAGGCTCTAGAGGGGGTTTCTTGGTGGTTTTGTCCATAACAACCATATGAAGTCTCTGCATACAACAATCCTCACCATTTCTTAGTAATATATTTGTTGGGTTTGGTGGTTTTGAGGAGTACATTCAGATTTAGATGGAGTTTGTAGAGCAAAGTGAGGGTATTATGGTGTTTTTGGTTGGGAAGGAAGTGCAAGAAGCCTTTGAGACATTTAGTGTTGAGCTATTGTGGTAATAGCTTTTGTGGTTACAAATTTTAGGTGATATTATCATTTCAGAAATGAGGTTCTCTTCTGCTGGTTTCACTCAGCAGTCTCCTGAAGGTATATTTCTCTGGGTTCTTTTTTTGTTGTTGTTGAATTTCAGTCTTTGTCCCTATTTTCCTGGTTTGGAGATCTTTTAGTGTCTAGTTCAGCTTTAAAATATTGTTGTTGTATCTTCTGGTTCTAGTTCCTTTTTTTTTGGGGGGGGGGTTTATTTGTTGAATTTCTGTCATTTTCCTCTACATTTCACACACTTTTTCCCTTTCTATTTTCCAAATTCCTCTCCAAATCCATGAACCAAACACATCGTTAGTATCAAGTTAAGCTACAAAACATTGTTGTTAGACTGATTTCTTGTTAAAAAATTACATTGATAATCTGCAAGGGAGAAGGGATGTCTGAATTATGAACTTTGGCATGCATGTGCTGGTCCTCTTGTTTCTCTACCTGCTGTTGGAAGCCACGTGGTGTATTTCCCTTAGGGCCATAGTGAGCAGGTCAGTCTACTTTGATTGGTTTTGACATATTCCTTGCTTTTAGATTTTTGAAATCAGAAATAGTAAACTACTACTTAGCTTTGCTTTATCTAATGTTATCTTATGTAATATGACAAGGTTTTCACGTTTTTTTCCTTTGGTTTTTCTTTCTCTTTCCTTCTCTTTTTTGGAAGGATGGGTGGGATTGGTGGCTGGGCTGAAATTACCAATTACACTAGATAAATTATACTATATTGTGATTGATTTTACAAGGTATGATTTATGGAAATATGTTATTGTAGATATTGCTATATGATCTCTGTTCTTAATTGATCTGAAAGTCAACATTTTAAATGGCTAGAAATGAGAATTTGACTTTCAATGGTAGTTTTATCATTATGTAACACATTTGACGGCATTTTAGAATATTACAATTAAATTTAATTTATTAGTTTACAACAGTATGATTAATTAAGTTGGCCCCCCAGACTTCGCTTGCTCTTTATTGGAATTCTTCTGGTTCATGCCTTTTACACTAGACATGCATTTGGGAAATTCAGAATTGTGGCATTATTTCATTGTCCATGGTGTTTTGGGATCTCCTTTAATTTTCCACTATGTATTCCTTTATATTTCCGTTGTGCAGTTTATATTGTTGTAATGGATTAGGGTGTTTTTGTTTCAATTTTCATCAGGGAGATAATGTACCCCCTTATTTAACATCATTTGAAGCTACGGGTTTTCCTTCAGAGTTTCTTCGAGAGGTATGAATTTCTTTCTATATTTGCAACTCTGTATTGGCCAAAAGTCTATGCAAGTTTGCTTTGATATGTAATCTTAGTGTTTTTTGTGAAAACTTCTGTGATTGCTGGAGGTCTGATGTGAAGCTTCAGGACTCACATCCATTATTTTCCATCTTTACTTTTTGTCGCAGGTGCAATATTTACTTTAAGAATTATATATTCAGGTTGTCTCATCGCGATCTGTAGACACCCCATTTTTTATCAACCTTAAGACTCAGACGTCACCGATTGAGCGCTCGGTGATGTTGCATATCGTGCTCGTTCAGAAGTTTCAGAGTCTCGGTCGCGAGCTTTGCCTCCGGACTTCCGGGCTCTTTCGTGCTTTGCCTCGGCTTGCGAACCAAGCTCCGTTTTCTCTGTTTTCTCTTCCTGAAGGGAGGGAGAGGTCTCGTAGATCATCTCTCAGTGGCCGTAGGCTACGTTTCGTGGTCGTAGGCCATTTTGCCCGTTTGGAGCCCGGTTTCCGGTTTTCGGAGTCGTTGGCCGTGTGCCTCAGTTCGGGACCGCTTAACCATCTCCGTTTGCTCTGATTTTTGGCATACATCTTGTTTGCTCCCTTTTGAGGGACACTGTGGTCCGAGAGACCAACTTTGTGGTCGGACACCACTTCCGGTGCCCAACAGCCCACTTTCGGGGCCCCGAACTGCGTGTTTTGGCTCCCGAACCTTCATTCTGCATTTTTGGGCTCTGACCTAAACTTAAGATAGTCATATTTTGAGGTCCTTTTCATGTTTGATTAAGGACCTTTTGCTGTTTGAGATCTCCTACTGCCACTAGCTTCTTTACCCCTCTTTTAGGCCTTTTCTTGCATGATAGTTTAGGCCTACTTGTATTTATTTTAGTGGCTTGTCATAAACTACAAAGTGTCTTATTTTGAGTCCCTCTTCAACTTTGTTGAAGGGCTCTCTTCAGTTTGAGATCTCCTACTATCACTTTCCCCTTTATCTCCCTTTTAGGCCAATTTTGGGGGGAAATTTGAATTTCATTTCCCCCCCATTTTTTCCCCTCTTTTCCACGCTTTTGTGTCTATATAACAGACCCCCCAGCTGTGTTTTAGGGGTTAGAAAATTTTGGTTTGGAGCTCTCACATTAAATCTCTCTCTCTCTCTCTACTCTAAGCCTTAAAAAACCCTTTTGATTCTTACACCATTTCCTCACCATCGCCTAGCACCACATCACCACTCCATTCCAGCAGCTTGGAGGGTCTTCTCAGAGCTTAGGAGGCAGCATTTCTTGGTCCAAAACACTGTCAAAGATTAGTCTTCAAGGGTAAGTCCTCTTCTCCCCTTTTTGACCCTTTTCTTGGTTCGTATCTTAGCTCTTTGTGCTTGCATGTTGGGGCTCCAACCCTAACTGAAAATATCATTTTTTTGAGCTCTATTTCATGTTTGTTTTAGGGCCTCTCACTGTTTGAGCCTCCCTTTTTGCACTTGCTTCATTACCTCCTTTGTATGCCATTTTCTTGCATATTATTTTAGGCCTATATGTAAACTGTTTTGAGCTCTAGTCTGAACTGTAAAGAAGCTTATTTTGAGCCCTTATTCAACATTTCTGAAGGGCTCATCACTGTTTGTGGCTTCCTTTTGCCACTTGCCTTTATATCCCTCTTTTGGCCTCATTTTTGCATGATTTGTTAGCCCCTTGTGTTTGTGTTTTTGGACTTTGGTCCGAACTGTAAATGGCCTTATTTTGACCCCTTCTTCATGTTTCATTAAGGGTATTTTACTGTTTGAGGCATCCTTTTTATACTTTGTGTTATAGCTCTCTTTTTGGCCTTGTTTTGCATAGTATTTTGAGCATGCTTGTGCACTGTTTTGGGTCTGGTTATAAACTGTAAAAGGTCATATTTTGGGCCCCTCTTCAACATTGTTGAAGGGCCCTCATCTGTTTAGAGTCGGCAGCCATGACTTGCTTCTTTATCTCACATTTAGGGCCATTTTTGCATATTGGTTTAGCCCTATTTTTGCTCACTGTTTGGCCTTTCTTAAAACTGTAAACATGCTTTTTTTGGGGCTGCCTTGAATCTGTCTTAACATTTCATGATCAAATAGTGCATTTTTTGTATAGCTATAGGCCATTGCGCATGCCTAATTTTGCATTTCGGGTCCCATTCCATGCATCGGGTGCCATGTTTCCATGATTCGGGGCTGTTTTGGGTCATATTTTAGCACTGAAATTTTCATGCTAGAATGCCATATTCCATGCTTTGTCATGTCTTGTTAGAGTGGCATTCGTGCCTTAGGTTTGGTCCTCGGTTTGCGTGCATGTGTGCACGCATTCCGAGTTGTCTCATTTTTCATCCAATGGCCTCCTATGTGAGTGTGGTTGAGGTCCACTCATGTTGGTGTAAGCCCATTATTACATTGCGTATGCCATTTCATCCATAGCATTGTGTATGCTCGTTGTGTATTACCTCCATGTTATCTCGTGCATCGTGTATGCCATTTCATAGCGTTGTGTATGCTAGGTTGTATCTTAGTTGCATTTCATGCATATCATGCATATTGCATCGTGTTTGGGGTAGGAGTTAGCCCGAGCATGGGAAACGAGGGACGTTTCGTAGTCCGAGTGACGGAACGTATCTCAATTCCCAGTCACCAACACTCCGGATTATTCATGATGGAGTCTAGGCCCTGTTGTGTTTGTGTGTGCATTCATTCCATATCGAGTTGCACAATTCGACTCCTCAGCCATCATGCATCGATATGCGTGATTGGTGGCACAAGGATCGAGGCATGCATACATTTGTGAAAATACATTGCTATGCCCCTTTCCTGCTCTCTGTTGTAGCAAATCAAGAATTAGCAACCTTCCGGAGCTTGGCGCGCTTTCCAAGAATAATTGTAAAACAGAGGCTAATTGGGGCATCCCAGTGGATTTCCGCGCAAGGCAGCCCAAACATACATCATTCATCAGAGTCGAGGCAGTCCCTGGCTTTGGCATGGCCAAAGTTTATTTTTTTTTTTTCTTAGTAATTTTGTAAATTATTAGGAATTTGTAATATTATTATTTGGACTGTACTATTTATTCGGACCCTCTGCGCGAGGGCATAACTGTAATAAGTGTGCGTGTGTGTGATGTATGTCTTCAAACCCCACGTCTTTCTCCCTTTTATTTACCCGCTTATGATGGTTAGATTAGGGCATGTTTTAATTAGCATACAGTATGATAGCATGTTTGCATTCATTCATCTATTTTGCATGCACCGGCTCGGCGCATCATACTAACTGCATTGTATTTTCATTCCAAGTTGAATACATGTTAGCTGTAGCATTTTCATATGCCATGTCTAGAATAGCCGAGGCCTGCTATAGTTGCACTTTTGCATGTGTTGCATTAGCATTTCTGTATAATTAGGATCATGCATGGATTTCTATTAGTTTCTTTTGGCTTGGAGTACTCGGTGAGTTTTATGCTTTAGCATCCTTGCATGCGTGTGAGTGACTGCCATGATAGCATGCTTACTATGAGGCAAATTGGCTTATGTGATATACTTGCCTGAATGCCTGTGGGTGAAGGTTGGGTTATTTGAATTGGAATAATTCATCAAATGTGTGTTTCAAGCCCACTAGATAGTGGCAAAACCATCTATTCTAAAGCCCACTTGAGGGTGGCAAATCCACGTCTTAGCCTACTTGCGGGTAGCACCATCAAACCATTTTCAAACAAACAAACATGAAATGTTTTGTTCCAATTCAGACGATCCAGTCTATACTTGTATGCTGTGCGCATCACATAGTAAATCTAGGCTAATAACCGGAATAAGAACACACAATGTTTTCAAAACTTGATATCATGGTTAGTAGAGGCCGATCTTTGATCGGGCGAGCGGGGGTGCTTACGAAGTGACCTTCCCCAATCGTACCCAAGTTCCCGAGCCGAGGCAACTTTGGTGATGACGGACACGTGGCCTTAGGCAAACGAGTCAGGGTTTCCTAAATTTCCCAAAATAAAATATTTAGGTGGCGACTCTGTATCTGGCAAAGCAGTCCATGTTTGGCACTTCTTTTCTAAAAAAATCTGTTTTCTCAAAAACGATTTGCCGGATTTGGACTCTTTGGTTCAGACTTAGAACCGTGACAATTTGAGAGTCCTGAGCTGTAGTGAGCCCAATATCGAACGGAACGGGAGCTCGTTCCTCCCGGGGGCGTTCGGGGACGTCTACACGATCACTTTAGCCAAAGTCTTCTTCGAAGAATGTTTTCACGGTATCTTCTCTCTTTAGCTCTTGTTTTTTTTATTCTTTCTTGCTGATTTTTGCTTGTATTTTGAGATTCCTATGATTTTTCGGTGGTTTAGTGTGGAGTGAATTGATGTTGAATTTGATATTTTGAAGTTGAATGAGAGGAGCACAATAAAAACATAATAAATATTGCAGAGGCATAGAGGCTAGAATTGCAGTGATAGGACATGTGGGGCTTACTCCTCAAGCCATCAATGTTCTTAGAGGATTTAGGGCTCAAGGAAAGAATATTGGTAGTGTTGTCAAAGTCAAAATTTGTCGCTCCTTACTATGCATACATAACATAAATACTTCATAATTTTTGTTGATAAAAAAAAATACATAAATACTTCATAATTTCATATATAATGAAATATGCTCACACACAAATTTGCATAATTTATTTTAGCGTTGTGATGCTAAATTGGCTTGGTTTCTGTAGGTTGTTGAGTTTGCCTTGGCTTTGCAGGAAGCTGGGTGCTTTTCTGTTGTTCTAAAATGTGTGCTTGTACCTGTTACTGCTGCTGCAACATCTGCTCTTCGAATCCTTACCATCGATATTGGGGCAGGAACTTTCTGTAGTGGCCAAGTTAATTGATTCTTTAGCTTTCTCTAGTAGACTTGACTGGCTTGTGTTGTGTATAATCTTTTTGTTTTCATTTGTACATATAATTTGCTATTTGCTATTTGATCTTGTAATTTGCTTTTAAAGTACTAAAATGAGTATTTTAATGATATCATGTGTTCATATATTGAGTTTACTCATATAATAAACTTTGAATTTGCTCTCTCTCTCTCTCTCTCTCTCTCTCTATATATATATATATATTAAAAATAATCCTCTACGGCATATAAAATTATGTCATGAAAAGTGTAATGATTTATGACATGCAAGAAAATATCGGAAAAGATTATATACGGTATACAAAATATGGCATAAATATATTAAAAATGACCTTTTACGGCATATACAATTATGTCGTGAAAAGTGTGATGATTTATGACATGCAAGAAAATGTCGTAAAATATTATATACGGCATACAAAGTAAGTCATAAATATATTAAAAATAACATTTTACGACATGTAAAATTATGCCATAGAAAGTGTAATGATTTAGGGTAAACTACCAATAGGTCCTAATAGTTGGACTTAATTCCCATCAAGTCCTATTGAAAATAAGTCTTGGTAAAATTGTTGTTAAAATAATTTTTTTGTGATAATTTTTTATATATGTCGTTAAAAATTGACAATTAGTGACTTTTTTTGTCATGATTTTTATAAATTGTCGCTAAAACTTACAATTAGTGAATTTTTTTATGGCAAATTTTTCTCATAGGACCTATTAGACAATAAGTCCACTTATTAGGACCTACACGTAAGTACCCCGATGATTTATGGCATGACAAAAATGTCGTAAAAAATTATATACGGCATACAAAGTGTGTCATTAATGTTTAATTTATTACTTTTATGACTTTACCTGCATGTTGTAAATGATGCTCAACTTTCTACGGTATGTCATATAACGACATTTGTGTGCATGTCATGAAATAGTTTTTACGGCATGCATTGTAAGCCATAAAAATTCAATTTTGTGGTAGTGATAGGTTTGTCTCTAGGTCTCCGATTCCTTTAATTTGACCTGATATCCAAGTACATTACAAAATATTCCTATTTCTTAACAAATTTCATTTATTTTTTAGAATAAAATGGTGTGCACACAATATGCCATAAAGCCTTTTATTCATATTTTCTATATAGTTTTACGATTAACTTGAATTGGTAAGTATGTTTGTAGGTGAATGTCTAATTACATATATTGGCTACATATCTCATACTCATATCCTTATCGAAGTATAATGTCTGACAAGGATACTCTATACATTTAGAAAAGGATAAATTTCACTGACCTCTCCTAAAGTTTATAGAAAATACAAGCATTAATTTCGGTGGGTTTTGTAAGACTAAATGTACCGAAATTAATACAAATAGGGCAAAGATACAAAGAGAAATAAGGTAAAATAAATATTTCAATGTAAAAGAGTTGATAATATCATTTTTTCATAAATATGAATAAATTATTGATGAAAAGGGGTTTAAGTGTTATGTAAATTAAAATTTTTAGGGATCCCAATGTAATTATGCCAAACTTGTGGAGTTCACTTTATTTTTATTTTTATTTTTTCAAATCTTAGGGGAGGTTAGTGAAATTTACCCTTAGGAAAGTATGTAACATAAAGATAATGAGATCCATATTAATAAATACATATGAAATCCATCATCTTTGAGTTTAGAAGTAATAAATCGAAAATTGGGTAAGAAATAATACTCAACTAAATTTTAGCATTTCACAAAACCATGGAAAATGGGATAACATCACAAAAAAGAGATTAAAACAATCTCGTAATAACAGTAAGTATCTACCCTCAAGTTTCATTGACAGAAAATTTATTTCTTTTTGCTACCAAAAAGCATCCAAAGCATGACAACAAACTCAACTTGACCAAAAAAATAACAATAAGTCAAGGAACATAAACATTAAACACAGAACTTGACAAAAAAATACATTGACAAAACATGATTTTTTAGAAGTGAGACCGTCAACTAATTTTGTAGAAATGATGTGCATTCATGTGTTTCCAGGTTCGGTTCGGTGTTTGGTTTACATATTCCTAAACTTACTGAAAAACTATTAACAAAAGTATATAAAATGAGGAAGGGCACGAGAACAACTACTCTTGGGGAACTAAGCTAATCTCACCTTTATTGAGCGAGTCATAGAATCCTGTGGTTCTTTTCTACATGTCCCACCGTTTTTTTTTCTACACGCTGGCAACAGACAGACCGGTTATAATCCCCAAACAAATCTCCTTAATCACCCCTGGACCTTTCAAGGTGACCTGATGACTAACCATTTTCACTCTGGTTGTAAAGAAGAAATCTCTACAGTTTAGAGAAGGATCATAAAGGGCATATCATAAGTTAATTGTTAATTAACTTAACATGATAATTGGTTCAATTTTCTCCCAAAAAAACGAAGAAGATATAAGATCAACCAATTATTGGCCACCAAAGTATGACAACCTAGTACACGAAACTTTTTTCTAAAGCGAGTTTTAAGGAAGGCAAGATGTATGCAATCTTAGTCTCAATTTTCAAGACGTTGGCCACCAAAGTATGGGATTGAATTTCTTTAAAAAAATCTTCTATCTTATTAATGACATGAATATTCAAGGTGTTTTCCCTCGCTCAACTATTCTTTATTTCTTTTTTTATTTTTATTTATTATTAGTTTTTTTCTGGTGTCCACAACTTTAGGCAAGGAATTTAACGTTCCCTAGATCTTTTAACCTCTTTCAAACTTTATCTATTGATTAAACTCAATTTTCTTAATTTAACCATTATAATTGCAACTTGTTCTAGCACTATTAGCATATATGAGGCCAAAGAGAAACATATCGGTGTACAAGCTTAATCAAAATATAATAAAAAATACAAAAGTCCCCATTAGACCGAAACATCCACTCCGTGCTTTAGGCCCTCATATGTTGCTTCTTAATTCATTTTAATACATGATATTCCTACCCTCATCATCTCATGAAAAATTTAACACTAATTGGCTAAACTTTTTCAGTAATGCTTGGTGGCCCGAATTTTCATGGTCTGAATGGCTCGAATGTCTTAAAACGACAATTCGGACCACCAAGCATTTTTCAAACTTTTTACATGTGCTTCCTAGTTTTTATGAAGCACAAAAGTCCCCATTAGACCACAACACCCACTCAATGCTTTAGGTCCTCATATGTTGCTTCTTAATTCATTTTAATACATGATACTCCTACCCTCATCATCTCATGAAAAATTTAACACCAATTGGCTAAACTTTTTACGTGTGCTTCCTAGTTTTTATGAATGCTAGAAAATAATAAACTAGGATTTTCCTTTTTGGATTTTTAATTTTTGCAATGTGAAACTAAAGAAAACGATGATGGAATTGGTGTTCATGGAAATTTCTTAAGAGAAGTGTCCTATAAGCAATCATGACTTGAAAAAATAGGAGCTTCACAACACACTATTGCATATCATAAAGTTAGACAAACCAAATTACAATGAGCAAAGTCGTGCCTTAGGAATTTACATAATATAAAGGGGAGATGAAGGAAGCAATTATACAATACCTAATTGATTAGATGATCATCCTTTTCATTACTTATGGTGAATGTCATTGTAAGTTCGGCGTAAAGCCTCATATAGCATAACCCTCAAGTGTTAATACAAGTATAAGAGTGATGCAATGTTATATTAGCAAGGTGCCATGCATGATGTGCATGAAGTTTATTTATTTTTCTTTCTATCCAATCAAGTTTCACACTTCTCACTTTGCATTTGCAACAAAATAGAATGTTGAATTTAAAATTTAAAATAGTTACAAGCTAAAAACCTATTATATCGCTTGCAGAACGTAGAGATATTTATGAAAAACAAATGGTGTTCTAGGAAAACTAAATATTGACATGGTTTAAGAAACAAGTAAGGGTGTTCTCTTTTTAGAATTTTATAGATATGGATTATAGATAGGTATATGGTGTCCAAGTTTGGGGCCAATTTATTACTACTTTTCCTGAAAGACATC